AAAAAAAACAAGCTCTCCTCCCCCTTTCCAGGTTGAAAGATCAAAAGTTTCCATAAAGTTTTTCCATGTACGCTTCATTTTAGTTAAGCCTTCTGACACCTTCTTACTTCTCATCCCTGATTCCCATCCCACCTTCATGCTTGAGCCCCTGTGGGGGCCCCTGGAGTACCCTTCTCTTCAATCCAAAGTATTCTTTCTAGTATCTTCTGAGACCTGTATTAGTGGACATGAATTTCTTTTTTTTTTTTGAGACTGGGTCTCCCAGTAGCCCCAGCTGGCCTGAAACTCGCTGTGCTCGCTATGTAGACCAGGCTGACCTAGAACTCACAGAGATCTGCCTCTGCCTCCCGTGAAGGTGTGGGTCACCACACCTGGCCCTTTAATCTATTTTTATCATGGAAAAAAAAATTTTTGCCCTTTAATTTTAATGGGTAGTTTTGCTGGAGATAATGGTCTGAGTTGGCAGTTGTGGTTTTTCACAATTTAGAATGCATCTTTGTGCTTTTAAAAATCAGTAATTTGACCTTCCTCCTTTTTAACCTTTCTCTCTTAGAACTTTCAATGCCCTTACTTTATTTTATGTTTTTAGTGGATTTTTTTTTAAAGATTTCTTAAAAAAAATTTAATTATGTGTGTGTTTGAATGTGTGTACATGTGACTTCTGGTGCTCACAGAAGCCACAGACATTGAATCCTTCTGGAGCTAGAGTTACAGGCTGTTATAACTGCTTGATGTGGATGCTGGATATTGGATTAGGGTCTTTTGCAAGAGCAATGTGTGCTCTTAACTGCTGAGCCATCTTTCCAACCTCTTAACTGCTGAGCCATCTTTCCAACCCCATTTTTAGTGTTTAACTACAGTATGTCATGAAGAGTTTTTTTCCTGATCCTATTTGGTGTTCTGTGGCCTCTTGTACACTTAGATAGGCATCTCTTTCTCTTGGTTTGGGAAATTTTCTTCTGTGATCTTACTGAAAATGTTCTCTATGCATTCATTGTAGCATTCTTCTATGCCTGCAGTTTGAAGGTTAGATCTTTTCATAGTGTCCCAAAGCTTTCCCGTTTCCATTCTTATATGTTTGTTTTGGTTTGGCATAGACTTTACTGAGTGATCCAATTCCTCTACAGCAATTTACAGCATTCTGCCCTATCCTCTGGCTCTTTCATTCTTTCCACCCCCTCTTCCATAATGTTCCCTGAGCCTTGGGGTGGAGCATTGATACAGATGTCCTATTTAGGGCTGAGCACTCAACAGTCATTTATTCTCAGCACTTTAACTAGTTACGAGTCTGTATAAACCTCTGCCTGCTATAAAAGGCTTTTTTGACCAAGGTTGAGAGCAATACTAATCCATGGATAGAAACACAAATCTTTTTTAAAATATTATTTTTATGTGTATGAGTATATTGCCTGCATGTATATAAGTACGCCTATGTCATGCAGTGCCCATGGAGGTCAGAAAAGGGTCTTGGATCCCCTGGAACTGGAGTTACAGACAGTTGTTAGCCACCATGTGGATGCCCTAAGTGGGTGCTGGGACTATTGGTCCTGTGGATGAGTGGCAAGCATTCTTAACTGCTGAGCCACCTCTTTAGCCCCAGTATGTCCCCTTAAAAGTCAGGAACATTGCTGGGCTTGGTGGTGCACGCCTGTAGTCCCAGCACTTGGGAGGCAATGGCAGGCGGATCTCTGTGAGTTCAAGGCCAGCCTGGTCTACATAGTGAGTTCCAGGATAGCTGGGGCTACAGGGAGACCCTGCTCCAAAAAAAGACAAAAAAAAAAAAAAAAAAAAAGTCAGGAACATTGTATCTCTACACTTTCCAAGTGCTAGGATTATAGGCATGCACCACCAAGCCTAGTTGCTGATGCTTTTTTCTTTTTCTCTTCTACTTTTAATGACACTTGTGATTTTGCTGGGTTTACCCAGATAATCTAGGATAATCTTCCTATTTTAAGGTCATCTTTAAATTAGGTTGGTTAGTAACCTTAATTCTATCTGCAACCTCAGTTCCCCTTTGCCATATAGCCTAACCTATTCTCAGATCCTGGGAATAAATCATGAACATTTTTGGGGGAACTATTTTTTTGCCTAGACATCTCTGTTTAAATCCTGAAGTCACACGAGGCAGCTGGAGCCAGGAGAAGATGACTCCAAATCCTGGCCCCATGCTCAGGACTGTGAGGAGGATCAGTAATTGAGTTTGAACTAAACGGGACCACTGAGTGTTGTATGGCCATGTATTCTAATCATCCTATTAGCATAAAATACATATGATAAATTCAGTATTAAAGAGTGATTTGGTTTGTAGGCAACTGAATTTTAGTTACATTATGGTAGGAAATCAATTAAAAACATTAGGATACAGGGGTGGAGAGATGGCTCAGCGATTAAGAACACTGGTTGTTCCTGCAGAAGACCCAGGTTCCAATCCCAGCACCCACATGGCAGCTAACAACTGTCCGTAACTCCAGTCCCAGGGGATCCAACAGCCTCTTCTGACTTCCGCAGGCATTGCAGGACATGGATGCACTTACCTACATGCAGGCAATACATGCATACACATAAAACAAAAATAATAAATAAAATTTTTTGAAAAATTATTAGTATAGCCGGGTGTGGTGGCGCACACCTTTAGTCCCAGCACTCCAGGAGGCAAACAGGTGAATCTTGGTGAGTTCCAGGCCAGTTGGAACTGTCTCAAAAAAGACCAAAAACAAATTATATATATATATAATTTTTTTTAGGATTCTATTTCAATTCATTCAGAAAAAAATTTTGTTTTTGACAAGGACAGTTTTATTTCAGAGGAAAACAACAGGGTGGATAAGCTGGTAAATCTCAGGGGCTGCCCAGAGGAAGGAGATGGAAAAGACAGACAGAAGACCGCGCATTTTGCAGTAGAGGTCAGCAAGCAGCCCATGATGGAAGTGGTGGTGATGGGAGCATTGAGGGAGGGAGGGAGGGGGGAGGGGGAGGAGAGCCAGCCCACAGTGTCATGGAAGCATGACTAGGCTTCAGCCAGTGGTGTCCAGAAAACACAGAAAAAAGAAATGAGAAAGGAGAATTGTCGTGCAGTGCCGCCTGGTGGAAGCTCTGCAAACATCTGCCCCAGAGTGTTCCTGATTTACTTGTACTTTGAGAGAAGCTTTGAGCTTAATTTTAATTTTTATATTTTTATTACAGAGTTTTATGCCTGTGGATGTTGCTGTTGACATGGAGAAGATTGAGGAACAGTTTGCTAATCTGCATATTATTAGACGTTCCTCAGAACCGAAAGAGCCCACTTACCTGCTTGGCATAGACACATCAAAGACTGTGCAAGCAGAAAAAGGAAATTTGGTTGCTGTTCTATGTTCAAATGGATCAATAAGAATATATGATAAAGAGACACTGCGTGTACTGCGAGAATTTAGTGGATATCCTGGACTTAATGGAGTCAAGTTTGCAAATTCCTGTGACAGTGTATATTCAGCAAGTACTGATGGCACTGTAAAATGTTGGGATGCTCGATTAGCTAGTGAAAAACCTGTTCAGTTGTTCAAAGGTTATCCTTCCAATATTTTTATCAGTTTTGATGTGAACTCTAAGGATCATGTCATTTGTGCTGGTACAGAAAAAGTGGATGATGATGCGTTGTTGATATTTTGGGATGCAAGGAGCACTTCTCAGGATTTGTCTACTAGAGACCCTCTTGGTGCATATTCAGAGACACATAGTGATGATGTCACTCAAGTACGCTTCCATCCCAGCAATCCCAACATGGTTGTCTCAGGTTCAACTGATGGCCTGGTGAATGTGTTTGATATCAGTGCTGATAATGAAGAGGATGCCTTGGTTGCAACATGCAACTCGGTTTCATCAGTGAGCTGTATTGGTTGGTGTGGAAGAGATTATAAACAGATTTACTGCATCACACACGATGAAGGATTTTATTGGTGGAATCTTAATCATTTGGATACTGATGAACCAATTACACATTTGACAATCCAAGATGTAAGAGAAATAGCTCATATGAAAGAATGTCATTTAGACTACCTGCTTGGTGGCCTCTATCATGAAAAAATGGATAAATTGTTTGTTATTGGAGGATCAAACACAGGAAGAATTCACTTGATGAGCTGCAGCACGGTGGGACTGACCCACATGACTAGCCTTCCGGGCGGCCATGCTGCCACTGTTCGTTCTTTCTGTTGGAATATGCACGATGATTCTCTGCTGACTGGGGGAGAAGATGCACAGTTGCTACTTTGGAAACCTGGAGCTGTAGAGAAGACCTTTTCAAAGAAAGACAGCATGAAAGTAGCATCCTCCGTGCAGCGGCGAGTTCGCATTCACAGTCATGATTCTTACAGGAGAAGGAAGAAGCAGTGACATGACACCCAGGACAGGGCCCATTACCTGATACTTTGCGGTTTCAAGTCACTTTGTTGTTTGTTACCTATACTAAACTTTTTTTCTTTTGTCTTTTTGAAGCAGGGTCTCCCTGTAGCCCCAGCTGTCCTGGAACTCACTGTGTAGACCAGGCTGGCTTTGAACTCACAGAGATCCTCCTGTCTCTGCCTCCCCCAGTGCTGGGATTAAAGGTGTGTGCTACCACGCCCGGCCACATGCCTGTTTTTAAAACCCATCTATCTGTTGAGTCAGTACATGTGGGGTTTGAAGAAATAGCTTTGAGAAGTACTTTTTAGTAGATGGCTGGGTAGACTTGAAACAGGTGGTTTGGGCTATTTTTTAAGCTCAGCTTTCTACATTTGAAGTCATCTTCATTGTTGATGCAACAAAATAAGACTATATTTAGTCATTTGAGGAACTTTTACTTGCTTAATCTGCCTAATGTATTACCTTGGAGTATTTCAATGTAAATATTCTAAAGAGTCTAAGCAGAATTTACTTTTTTTAGAAATGAAATATAGGGACTTTATTAAAATGAGAAAAATATATTTAGTAAATATTTGCATCTTACTTTAATACAGCCTATACTTGGTGAAATGGTACACAGGTATTTTGCTGATGAAAAGGAAATTATCTTACTAGATTCACTTTGAGACTCAAAGAAATAGAAATGAAATATGACATAGGACTAGTTTTGTTTCCAAATATCCTTTCATAATTAAATTTTCTTCCATATTTCACTCATAAATTTAAACTTGAAGTTTTGCTTACTGATAATCTTATTTTGTATGTGTATATATGTGTATCTGTGTGCACATGTGTGCATGTTGTGTACCACAAAGCATGCATGGCAGTCAGAGGACAGCTTAGGGGAGTCAGTTCTCTGCTTCCACCATGTAGGCCCCAGGGATTCAACTTGGGTCATTAGGCTTTGACTCCAGGTACTGTTAACTACTGAGCCATCTCACCAACCCCCACTTACTGCTAATTTGCCATTCTTTCATTTAAAAAGTATTTTTGTAAAGTGTCTTAATAAAACAAGCTAATCTAAAACTGGCCATGTTGGCTCAGGCCTTTAATCACAGCACTAAAAGTTTTTTTCTTGTTATTGTTTAATTTATATGTGTATGAGTAAATGCCATGTGTGTTAGAGTGTCTGTGAAGGCCAGAAGAGGGCATTGTTTCCCTTGGAGCTGGGGTTAGGGTTGTGAGCTGCTAGACCTGGGTCCTAGAAACTGAACTCAGGTCATCTGGAAAATCCTTAAGTGTTTTTAACTACTGAACCATCCCTCTAGCCCCTATACTTCTTGAGGACATTTTAAATTTATTCATTATATTAGCTACTTTTCTGTTGTTGTGGTAAAGCACCATGACCAAGGCAATTTATAGAAGGAAGAGTTTATTTGGCTTACTGTTCCAGAGAGGTAAGAGCCCATAAGTGGCAGGGAAGGCATGGCAGCAGAGGTGACTAGAGCAGAAAGCCAAGCGATCACATCTTCAAGCAGGTACAAGAAACAAAGACTGGAAATCTCCCCAGGCCACCCCCAGTGATGTGCTTCCTCCACCAAGGCCACACCTTCTAAGTCTTCCCAAAGCAGCGCCATCAACTGGGGACACAAATGTCCAAATACCTATGGACATTCTCATTCAAACTACCACATATATGTATTTGAGACAAAGTTTTATCATATATCCCAGATTGACTTGGATTCATGATTTTCCTGCCTTAGCCTCCAAAGTCCTGAGATTACAAACTTATGCTACCTTATCTGGCTTTTCTTTTCTTTTTTTTTTTTTTTTAAGTGTTTTAATATCTAGCCCAGGCTGGCCTTTTTTTAAAAAAATATATTTTTTATTTTATTTCATTTTTATGTGTATGACTATATTGCCCGCATGTATGTATGTGCATCCGTGTCATGTAGTGCCACAGAGGTCAGAAGAGAGTGTCAAATTCCCTGCAACTGGAGTTATGGATGGTTGTTAGCTTCCATGTTGGGTTTGTTTGTTTTGAGAAAGGGTCTCCCAGTAGCCCCAGCTGATCCAGAACTTGCTGTGTGGACCAGACCAGCCTCAATCTTACAGAGATCCACTTTCCTCTGCCTTTCCATGTGCTGGGATTAAAGGTGTGTACCACCACACCTATCTTGCTTCCTGTTTTTATATGATCTTTCAGGTATGAATGATTTTTCCATGTGAAGTACAAATTGCTGCAGAAGACTACATGTCTATATGAAGTGCCAAAACCAGTCCAGTCTGTAGGGAAAGAACATAAATTTGTGGTCACCTAGGCTGGGTGGAAGATGGGAAGTGACAGCTAAAGAGAATGAGGGAGGTTTGTTTGTTTTTTGGAGGTGAAGAAGGTGTTCTAAAATTGTGATGATGGGTACAAAACTGAATATATTATAGAGGTTGTTCTAAAATTTTAAACTAGTAACTATATAAAAATTATATGTGGGCTGGAGAGATGGCTCAGTGGTTAAGAGTTAAGGCTGCTCTTGCAGAGGACCCAGGTTTGAGTCCCAGCACCCACATGGTGGCTGACAACTGTCTGAAACTCCAGTTCCAGGGTATTCAGCACCCTCTTCTGGGCTCCTCAGGCAATGCCCAGGTGCATACATGGGGCATAAAATAAAAATAATGAAAGAAACATAAAAATTTTATGTTTATGGGATAATAGCATGCAGTGTTTCCATATGTGCATACAGTGCATAACATTTAGCATATCACCTCTCTTAGGGTTCTCTATAAGAACAGAACCATTAGAGTGAATATATACTACAAAGGGAATTTATTAGATTGGCTTAAACAATAGGGACTGCGTAATCTAACAATGGCCATCTGCGCTCTCCAGAGGCTGAGAGTCCACTAGCTGCTCAGCCCACAGAGCTGGATGCCTCAGAAGTCCCAGTCTGGTACTGAAGGCCTGGAGGATTCCTAGAGAGCTGCTGGTCAGTCCACATTGGAGCCTGAAGAAGCTGGAGTCCAGAGTCAGCAAAGAATGGCAGCAGCTGCAGAGATAGATGACTCAGCAGCACGAAGCAATGGCAGGCAACACTGCTTTTTCCTCAGTCCTCTGTATGTCTGGGTTAGCTCCATCCTAAGGTGCCACCCACTCTTTGGGAGGGTCTTTCTCCCTGGAGATGTCCTCACAGATATCAGAGGTGGGTCTTCATTGATTCTAGATCCCACCAAGTTGATAGTCTCATCAAGACTATCACAGCCTCAAAGGTTTATCATGTCTTGCAGTAAAAGGTAGGCATGTTACTATCTGTAGCCTCTTTACTGTGCAGTAGCACAGAGAACTTATTGCTCCACTCTTAAGTACAACTTGCTACCTGTCCATCAACCTTTCATCATCTCCCTCCTATGCATTAAGTGGGTGAATTTATGGTATATGAATTATACCTCACAGTTTCTCAGGCTTTTTTTCAGTTTCACACTTATGAAATATGTAAAGATCAAGCTAAGAATCAAATACTTGAGGCAGAGAGAGAGGCCACAATATGGCAGTGCCTGAACAAAGCTTAACATTTGGCATTGGTAAAACCAAGAGTGAGCCCGATCATTTCTGAGAACTTCCTCCTGAGCTCTCTTGGAACTGTTCCCCTAAACAAAGGGCTTGCTCTGTCTTTATTGAAATGTTATGTCCAGATAGGGTATACCCAGGTACAACCTGATGAGGAAAAGGTAAAGAACTTGTCTTAACAGAGGATTTTCCCTTTCTGACCCCTACTGACCCAGAGCAGCACACACAACCAAACAGGTGTTATCAGTCTAATTCCATCTATTTGCCATAAAAACACTTTTTATGCTGCTGATTTCATGTATATTTGCTGCTTTTCAGTGCTGATGTTTTCACAACACACACACATGCATTATTCTGGGTCCAGGGCAAGGAAGTGCCATGAGGGATTAAAGCTGTGTGTTTAAAATATTTCATTTCATATGTGTTTGCCTACATGTATGTAAGTGCACCATGTGTATACAAGGCCAGAAGAGGTATCAAATCCTCTGGAAATGGAGTTAGATGGTTGTTAGCTGCCATGTGAGTGCTAGGAATAGAACCTAGGTCTTCTGGAAGAACAGTAAGTTTTCTTAACTGCTGAACCATCTCTCCAACCTCAAAAGCTGTGTGTTTAGATGACAAGAGGAGCCCAAGGCCTAGTAAGAGACATGAATTTCCCAAAGGTTATCAGAAAGAGATAAAATTTTTAGGTTCATAAGCAGGATCATTGTTTTGATTTATTTTGGAACCTTCTGTACCAAGAAAGCAGTAAGTGCCTACAAACAGCTTGAGGAGATTAATGTATTTGAGCAGTAGTGAAGATAAAGCTTGGAAAATATCAACACAAGCAAATGGCCTAGTAAGAGACATGAATTTCCCAAAGGTTATCAGAAAGAGATAAAATTTTTAGGTTCATAAGCAGGATCATTGTTTTGATTTATTTTGGAACCTTCTGTACCAAGAAAGCAGTAAGTGCCTACAAACAGCTTGAGGAGATTAATGTATTTGAGCAGTAGTGAAGATAAAGCTTGGAAAATATCAACACAAGCAAATTTTGTTACTTTTTTCAGATAGGGTCTTTTTTCAGCCCCAGCTGACCTGGAAGTCTCTATGTAGACCAGGCTGGCTCAGTCTCATGGTGAGTCACCTGCGCCCACCTCCAGAGTGTTGAGATTAAAGACATGTTCCACCATGCCTGTGTTGTACAAATTT